AATGGATTACCTTGCTTCAATGTTGTCGAGACATTTTTTCAGGATAGACGCCAGTTCTTCTTTGTAGGTGTGGTAAAATTTAGCTGTGAAAGCATCTGATCCAGGACTTCTCTTTTTAGGAAGGTTTTTTATGCCTGTTTCAATTTCAGTACTTGATATTTGTCTGTTCAGGAATTCTATTTCTTCCTGGTTGAGCCTAGGGAGGCTTTGTGTTTCTAGGGATTTGTCCATTTCTTCCCACATTTTCCCAGTTTGTGTGCATAGAGGTTTTTGTAGTTTTCATAAATTATTTTGGTATCTCCATGGCATCAGTTGTAATTTCTCCTTTATTGTTCCTGATGGAGCTTATTAGAGATTTTCCTTTTCTGCTTTTTGTTAGTCTAGCCAATGTGTCAATTTTGTTTATTTTTTCAAAGAACCAACTTTTTTTTATTAATCTTCCATATGGTTTCCCTGTTGTCAATTATATTTAGTTCTGATTTGATCTTAATGATTTCACTTCTTCTGTTGGGCTTGTTGTTGGTCTGTTCTTCTTTTTCCAGCTCTTTGAGATGATTCATTGGTTGTCTATTTGTAATCTTTTTGACTTTTGGATATAAGCATTTATGGAAATAAACTTTCCTCTCAGGCCTGCTTTAGCTGTGTCCCACAGGCTTTGGTAACTTGTGTCATCTTTGTCATTTAGTTCAAAGAATCTTTTGATTCCCATCATGATTTCCTCATTTATGAAGTGATCCTTCTCTTAGTTGCAACTTATTTTCTTACTTTTATCAATATTTTAATCCTACCTTCCATAAAACTTAAAATAAATTTACAAAACAATTGCCAACAATTCCTCCATATCATGTACATCCATCACACATACTACTTATGGTCCTGTTTAAGATGACAAAAAAATGCAGAAGACTCCACAATCTGACAATGTGATGTACATAGTCATCAAACATTGTGATAATAATCCTTTAAATTATTGACATAGAAAATGAATTGTTAAATTTTCCTTAAAAAAAATAGGGTCACCTTCCCAAGGAGTATGTTAACTACTACCTAATTTGGAAAATGTGGCTATGCTTGTATATACATAGAAATATATATAAAACTATATACACTTCAGTTCTATCAATGGACTTTTTGTAATTGAATCTTTATTTTCTTCTATATAAACTAGTGTATGATTTATTAATAGCTTGTGCTTATTTTACAATCTAAAGAACTAATTACTTTTTAAACTAGAAATATATTAAAAAGGTATTTTAACCATAAAAATGAGGTTATAAGTGTTTCATATTGAAAAAAAACCACTGGAGCAGATGTGTATATGCAGAGTAGATGCATGGGCTGGGGATTATTTGGACTGAGAATGCAGTGCCGATGACAGTGAGAAGGCCATGAATTCCAGAAACAGGAGAAAAAATTGACAGAAATTGATAATGTTTAGTTACCCTCTACTTGCAAACTGCTACACATTTGGGATAAGCATAACCACTTTTTTTGGTCATATAAGTATTGGAAAATTGCTGGGAATGGGCAACATCTTTAAGTCAATAACATCATAATGTGACAACTATGCTGTCCAAGTATTCCTTGAGCGGTAAGTCCAGGGAGAGGGGCTGGCTCGTGGAAAGACAAATGGACCTACCTGGCAACTCTCCCAGTGTCCAGTCCTCACTCACAGCCATGTCTGGCTTACAGAGCCCACTAGTCAGATACTATCATTATTATCTATGTCATTTTTTAAAATTTTATCCTTCCACAGGAGTAATTCATTACCCTCAAATATTTTGGCTTTCCACTCCATCCTTTTTCACTCTAGAAAATGGATGGAAGGTAGATTGTCTGATGTAAACTAGCTTCTGCATTTCAGGAGAGAAAACTGGTACTTCATTTCCCAGAACTCCTTGGCCCTTAGAATTGGCCAGTAAGAGCTACATGTACAAACATGAGGAAAGTGGAAGAGACAAAGATGCCATTTCTTTCTAAAAGGAAGATAGCACAAATTATCGGCAAATCCTTGGGTTCCAGACCTTCTCCTGAAAATCACCCTCCTTGGTGCTGCAGGAGCTGGGATAATGCTCTGTGCTTTTCCCATGACTTATTTTACAAGATAAAATAATGAAAGAAAAAAAAAAAAAAGAAATGTCTTCTGTGAGTGGGCGCCCATGAGGGCACAGGGGAGCCTAAGGGCTCGTGTGGTCAGGTGAAACCAGGGTGGATCCGGGACACTGAAGCTGACTTTCGGCCCAGTCAGGGGCTTGCTCTCGTGCACATTTGAGCCAGGCGTGCAGCCCAGGATAACGCAGCTGAATGGTGAGACAGCCCAGGAAATCACGTTCAGCCATATCAAAATTACTAAACCCAGGGAGTGGGAGTTTTGTTTCTTCAGCAACCCCATTGGTCATGACATCTGGGAGTTAATGGTCTAAGGAACGAAAATGGGAGCTGAGGGATTAACTGTTAGACTGTTCATTAACTCAACAAAACACAGCAAGGCACATTTGTCTTCCACACAAAATCATACAAAATTTTCTCTTTATTAAATATACATTATTTACAGTTTAAGTCTTTCTTCTGTACAACAATAACCATAGAAAACAAAGAAATCTAAGGCTAACGTTTATTTTTTCCCCATACAGTGTATTAAGACATGTTACATGGTCTACAAAACTGACTTGGAATGAGGCAACATCACTTGGGATTTTGTTTTAGGAAGGAAAACCAGAAGATCAAAAGGAAAAAGTAGACTCCAGAAGGTCCACAAAGGAGATGACCTCTTTTGTGCTTTTTCCATAATAAAGAGTCTGACATATGGATATTTGGGGGAGTCATTTTGTGTTTTATTATTTACTTATTCAAAGTAATCTCCCTGCTCTTTCTTATTTGCATTCCTCAAAAAAGAGGGCCCAAGCATGCCACAGGAAGACTAACTTCCCACCTGAAATGGGCACTTGGATGCTCTGTCTTAGGGACTGGCAAACTACAGCCAAGAACCAAATGTGATTTTGTAAATAAAGTTCTCTTGGAACATGGCCATGTGTATGCATTTACATCTATTCATTTTCATGTTCTCTGAGGCTTCCTGTCACAGACTAGTTGACCAAGGGGAGAGCCCGCTCAAGACAACACAGGATATCAGGAGGCTCGTCAACTGCAAGATTCAGAAGGAAAAAAATTCTTGGTCTGGGTCCTCACAAAATACAAAATCTCTTTCACAATATAACTATGTTGCTTTAACCAGGTTTGATATCTTTTGCAAGAGCATTTAAGGCAGGACAAGGTTGCACATGTTGATACTGCCATTCAAAGGGAAAAGACTATGTCACTATTTCATGTAAAGTCTTTGACATACAAATTGCCTCTAATGGGAAAGTATGACTAGGCAGATGCCCATTAATATTTTCTCTTCGAGTCACACTGAAAGGGGAAGCCTTTCAAAGAGCCCCAGGGTAATGCAATGCTCCCATTGCAGACCCAGTGCCTTTGCCATGTTCTGAGACTACTGCTGGCATCTGAAGCATGTAAGGCTATAACACTATTGTAAATAAGACCAGGCTTAAATCACTAACACAAGTAGCTTCACTTTTTGTCCTGGCCTAAGACTATTTTCCTAATTTTGTCGTTGCTATTTTAAAAGGGGTTTCCCTGTGTCACAAGGGAAGATTGAGGAAAGCAGTATTCCCAGGAAGTGTGAGATGGTGGCCCCCGGCACTACGCACTGTCAGGACCCGAGAGTATCACACCTGCTTATCATTAAGGTAGCCCATGCATGCCAGGACCAAAGAAGGGGAAAGAAAGACCACCAGACTGATCCAGGACCTCAGGACTTTTACCTGCAGGGGCTCCGATTCAGGATAGTGGGCCTAGGGTGGTTTCTAACAGCTTCTTTTCCTTAAAGCTCTATCTGGGTGCTTAACAAGGACAGGTTAGGTAATTGTAGTGATAACTAAAGCACCCAGGGAAAATCCTGATGAAATTTAAAAATTAAAACAAAAACATGTGATTGGAGTAGGACTGGAAAGGGTCAAAAATGTCATGCAAAGATGAATAAAGAATTATGCATGCAAAGTCCATGATATTGCCTCTTTCCCTAATGTGTAAGACAATGATCCAAATGCACTAAAGAGACTCCTGAGTCAGGATCCAGGAAAGTGGGAAGAGCCCTGACACTGATCATGGTGGAAGCAGTGACCTTCCTCACCTTGGATGGCCACCAATGACTGCCCCAGCCCTCCTCCTCCTCCTCGACACATTCCCAGCAGGTGTAGACAAAACACCAAAACAAATTTTTGAGTTAATCCTTGTTAGTCTGCTCAGCCACTTTGTAGACTATAAACATTACAAAAGACAGACAACTAGCTTACAAAGTACAATATTTCACTAGAAAATGTGCTTTTCTGTTCTTCCTCAGAGTACCTTAGTGCAAAATAAAAGAAAACAACTTATCACTCAAAAATAGCAAAACAGGTGATTATTAAAACCTTATATAAAGGATTCAAATAATTATCAACACCAAAGGGGAATTCTTCCTTCCTTACCAAAGAGATATGTATGTAGAATTTTCTACAGAAAAGTTAAATAACAGCCCTATTTTTACAAAGTGGTGTGTGTGTGTGTGTGTGTGTGTGTGTGTGTGTGTGTGCATGTATGTGTTACACTTTTTCCCCTTTAGGTGGTTCGACTATTTGGAATTGTGAACAAAGTTGAGAACTAGGGACAACCCAAATCTGCAAACTAGATGCCCCCACAGGTGAAAGTGCTGGGGGAGGGGTATCGGAGGAGAAACCAAGACAGACCCAGGAACAGGGTGTGGAAGAAATCCAACTACACAATGTATCTTTTAAAGAAAACATGTTCAAACTGCATGAGAGACATGGAATAGCATTCAGTTATCCTCCAAGTATTCTTGAAGTTTAGAGTTTGCTTGCACCTTCTTCCATTAACCACCTTTGCCATCTACAGGAACAAAAAAGCCTACTTACTCGTTTAGTCTACTCTATTCGTTTAGTCTATGCATGGCCTAAGGACAACGGAGGACTAAGTGTGCCCAAGTCATTAGGGGAAGAAGAATGAGTGGCAGAATGATATAGGTGTCTCGAAGGTCCTTTGGTGGGCTGGTGTTGACCGACTGTATCTATGAGGAATTTGAAGGAAGCCAGGGTAGTTGGTGGGCCAACTGTCAAGGCTTTTCCTAAGAAGCAACTCAACAGGCCAGAGTCCCATCTCCCTGATTATCTTGGGAAAGACCCTCTGGTGGCACCCACCCGGTGTAGCTCCTCTTACTGAATTAACTTACAACAGAGAGGGGGCAGATTGGAAAAATCAGGATTGGAAAAACATTAAGGATTGGAAAAATTCACCCAGTGCACAGAGGAGATACTAAACCTGGAGGGACAACACTTTTTAGTCAGTTGTTGACTCAAGGATAGATTTCATCTAGTTCTTAGACATTTTTCTATGCAGAGTTAAAATAGTTCATCAGAACAAAGGAGGGTTTTAGGAAGAGCTGTACTACAACAAAGCTGCCTTCAGAAACATCTGGAAGAATGATGGCATGCACTAGGTCACAAACAGATGGCAGCAAAAAAATGAGAAAAGGGAAAGAGGGAGCTGAAGTGGAAATTGTTGTTTCTTATCCCACATAAGATTCCAGCTCTTCACTTAGGTCTGACTGATGGGAGGAAGACTTTTGGAATCTCCCAGCCTGAAGTGAAACAAGAATGTAGAAAATTCAATCCATAAGTATGGCAGAAACAGGGACCATTTATTCTTGTCCTTAAAGAGTCAACCTACCTCCTTCTACGGAAATCTATATGTATGGATAGATATTTGCTTTAAGGAGGAGAAACAAAGCAACTTATTGAAGGTGGAAGTAATGAATGAGAAACAAAATTATAAGGATTTCTCAGAAATGTTGTCTCTTTCTTTCAGTCTCCAGTAAATGCTTTACAAAGACACTGTTCAGGACCTTTGCTGTGCATTCTATAGCACTTTATGCATACGCTTATTACAACAGTACACAAATCTAGCATCTCCTGCTAGACTGTGAGCTGTCCAAGGGCAACAATCAGGTGTAATCTGTATTTGTACATCCAGTGCTCAGCACATTGGAGGACTGGGCATTCACTAAATACCTCGTGAACAGATAATGAAAGAACAATCCCTTAATTTTGTTCTGATCCTCCTCTTGCTACTCTGTGGTGGGCATGGGTCTGACAAAAGGTGCAAGTCCAGTTAGTACATCTGTTATTTCTAAAAAGAACAAAAATTGTCATGAAAAACAGCCCTAGGATCCTTAAAATAATGTTCCATGTGCAGTTGAGAATGAATAGAAGAGGCTAATCTCTTCATGAAAATATATCTAGAGAAATGACAAATGTCTGTTTCTCTAGACAAATTCTCATAGAAACCATGGAAATCTGGCCTATGCACACAATGCAAGATGCAGTGGGTGCCCATTATATTTTAGGGTAGGCAAATATATTGTCACTTATATAAATAGTTTTTTGTGGAAATAATATCAAAGAAACAGCCCCCTTAGAATATGAAATTGCACAGGCATTTTTGGTTTTACTGTAAAGTGACCATATTCCATAAAATCTTTTTGTAAACAGCAGTTACTAAAGACTGAGGGTAAGAGTGGAGGAGATACTGGTGGTCAAGTTGGCCAAAGCATTCACTTGAGAAATCTGAATGTGGTTAAGGAGAGATTAGAATGCTTTAAAAGAGTTGAGATTAAAATTGTTCAAGGATTGAAACACTCACACAATTGAACAGTTGCATAAAACTACATGGATCTTGGTACCACTAAGGAAAGACAGGTAGAATTAGCACTTATTCCTAGCTGCAAATTGTGTTTCGCTTTGGAGAGTGGAGCTCACTTGCATTTCATATACATCTAGAGAAAGTTAGAGTGTTCTCTGGGGTTATGAAATAATCCAACCCTGTAAAAATAATTCTTATTTAGCCCTGAGACATTACTTACAAGAGCGATGTGTAGATTGCACTGTCTTGGCATCCACATTTGGGTCTATGGCACACAGTACACGTGTCACGGTGCACGGTGCACGTAGTCTACATGCATGGGGAGGACGCCAGTGGGTTTTGTGGTGCAGATATGGTAAGGATGGTGCTTCACAAATTCTTCATCCTACAGAGCAATCTCTAAGCATATGGAAGTACATGAGAAAATCAAATACTCTGAGTTAGCTGTTGCTGGTCCTCCATTTCTTCTATCAGCACTACGTCAGCAAAATACAGTTCTTGCTTCCCAGAGACTTGAGCAATGAAGAGTTCTGGCTTTATTACTCACACCTTCCTTTTCTGTTCCATTTCATTATTGGAGATGCTTCAGGCTAAACCACTACACTTCATGGTGACTTTTATTTCAGGGGACACAGGAATGTGTAGCCAAGCAAAAGGCTGATTTATACAGCCTTTTTATGGATATGGAAAATTCAAAAGTGAAAACTGGAGAAAGGAGAGGAAAGGGCAGGGGGAAACAGTATTTAAAGATCTTTCATCTTATTAAAAGATCATTCATCTTATGAAAGCTAAAAGGGAAAAAAGGTACCCTTCTTAGAATCACTTTAAAATAAATTTACTAGCAAAAGAATATAATGGAAATGATAAAGTGATTAAGTAAGAATCCACAGAAAATTTTAAGGAGAGACTGTATATTTAGAACAACATCTTAGAGTTGGGAAATATGATTGCATACTAATTCTTTATTCCACAAGCTCTGACACTGAAAGAAAAGCCGGGGACTTGAAATGGAGCAAAGCAAATAGGTTCCTCCTCGTGCGCCTCCTCGTGCATGGGAGTGTTAATTAATCAGAGGCCAGAGACACGTGAGGAACAAGATGGAACGTCTGCTAACTGGAAAGGCTGGGAACAAAGGTCTGGTAATTGTTTTCCAAATCGAATCTGCCTTGGAAAGAGAATCAGCAAATGTTTTCACGTCTGTGGATCTTTATATTGCCATTTCTGGCATCCCTGAGCATGTATATTATTTTCCCCTTATTTTTTTCTCCAAGATGGCCCAGAGGCAAAGAGTTAGGCATGTGCTAAAGCAAAATCACTGAGATTCCTACCACCACCTCGTGGTTGAGCTCAAGGCGCCTTCCTGTATGAATGTATCTTTCCTGCTTAATTATCAGAAGGGCAAAGACCCCCAAATTTGACACCACCTCCTTTGGGAGTGTGAGCCTATGAAAAGGTGTGAGCACGGGGGTCTTTATATACACAGTGTGTAGCAGATTTGAAAATATGATGCGCTACAGAACCTAAGGGCCACTCTAAAATCAAGCAGTGGGTCAGCTATGACCATAATGCCATGCAGGGCAGTGCACCTTAATCTCTTAGAAAGCATCTCCCCGGACAAAGTGATTCATTATGTCTGCTTGAAAATGTGAAACCGGCATACCTGAATTCACTTTCTTTACCACGTCTTTAGTGAATGGATGAAAGGGAAGAAATCTGCTTGGTATTTCTCTTCTTTCATGCAGTTATTTTCCTTTTTCATTTTTTTCATTTTTGTTTTAAAGCTGAGTTAAGATGGTTTAAGCTCTTTCATTGAACCAGGTACTATTTTAGACTTTTATTTGAATTTCTTTATGCTGCAGCTACTTATATATTAATATATATGTATATATTTTTATTTTTGCCTTAATGTAACCCCAGGAATACCTAGCTAACATTTCTTACAAAGTTGGAGGAGGCATTTTTGAAGTTATGGAACATCTACTTCCTAGCAGCTTTCTTCTTACTTCCTAGTTTCAAGCTACTGTATCCCTGCTTCCCCTAGGTTTATGATATTGTCTGCGTCTCAAAGTGGTGGCCCCAGGAGAGCGTGGGAAGAGAGGAGCAGAGTCATTTTGTCAGTGCTACCAGCCATCCTGTACTTGAAAATACTCAGAGGATAAGAGTTGTAGTGAGAAAGGGCGGTGAGCTTGAGCAATGGCTGCCTATGGTAGGGAAATTAAAGGAACAACACAAAAACAGACCTGTCTTTTTCCCCTTAAAATAGCACTGAGGCAAACCAGGATTCTAGGTTCTTCTCCCTCTGTCCTGGGCTCCCTGGTACGAATGGACTTGAGAAGGAGAGGATGTCAGGATGACTGTCCTGTGCCTAGGTCACAGAGCTCGGGTTCACAGTAAGCCTGCAACACTGAATGCTGCCAAATCAAACAGTGCATTTTAGAAACTAGAAATACAGAACTGAACATGCGGGAGTGCACACGTGTCTCTTCCTTGTCTCGAACAGTAATGCCAGTCTCTTGAGTGGTCACAAACACCACGATAGGTTTGTCAGAGAAGAAGGCAGTGGCCACAGCTGCCCGGTCTCCTGGGCTGGGTCAAGGGCATCGATGCCGTGGTGGATGCAGGTGTGTTCCAGAAAAGAAATGGCAAGCACATAAAAGGAAGAGAATGAACAAAACTAAAAGACAGAAGAGAGAAGAAAAGGAGTAAAAATTAACAACAAGAAAAAAAGAGTGTTAGGGACCCTGCAGTTTTCAGATGAAATATTCCCGTTTACACTCGCTCACTGTGTTTTGCAAGTCAATATCGTTTCTGAAGGAACTGTCCAAATTCTCTGGGTACTCCTTCTCCTTCATCTGGTTTGCGCGCTGTGACTGCTTGTGCTGGTAGAGGAGCCGGGTCATGATGCCCACGACACAGAAGATGATGAAAATCACCACTGCTATTACCCCTGGGGGGGGGGGCGGAAGAAGGAAAAAGAGAAAAAACCGTCTCAGATCACCTGCTCAAGAAGCAGAGTCAGACTACACAAAGGAGGCACTTAAAAGAACAAAACAAAACAGAACAAACACACAAACAAAACTCTGCCACATGCCCAGAATAAAAACCTGCCAAAATGACCTCAGTCTTTAATTACTGTTAAAACCTCCTTCTTTCGGACCAGCTGGGGAGAACTCTGGTTTAAATCAGAGAAGGTTTTGTTTAATGGACTAAGAATGCCATCTTATAAATATGGAGTTGAATTAGCAAAGGATTTTTAAATAAATTTTTCAATATGTGCTGTAAAGAATGTCAGAATCATTTGTAATTAGCACATTTTTTTTCACCCTGTAACTAAATATTTTAGAACTACTTTAGCATCCTAAGAAAAACCAATACTTAAATATTTCACATCCCAATACATCCTCTCCTGATGTAAATTTGCTTTATGTTATATGTTTGTTTTGCTTAAAAAATCATTAATAAAGAAATGATTACCAAAAATTTAGGACACCCTCATGCTGCTCCAAACTCTGCTAGACAAAAACCCCTCGGGGGTGAGAACCTCTGCCCTCCAGCGACTCAACAGACTAAAATGGGGAAAAATGTCTATTTTAGAAAGTTACTTTTGGACACCCTATATTATGATTTGCATAAGCATGGATATTTGAGAGTTACATACATTCATTGTGAGTCTTACACCAAGTATTTGAGCTAGGGACATGGTTAAGATTTCTTACTTTTTTTTCCCTATACCTAAATTGTTTTGTGGAATTTTCTCCAACTACTTTAGAACAAGGCAGAGCAAAACCACGTCAGCTGGCACAGCGGCGGACAGACTGGGTGGCAGCGAGTGCTGGAGGAGTGGCCGCCGCAGCGAGAGAGGACACAGGAAGCCGGTTTCTACCCCTCTGGTGCACGGGGTGGTCAGAGTCGGGGGCTCCACAGGCCCCCAGGGCTCTTCCTGTGGGACTGGACTGACTTCCCAAGATACAGAGCATGTAAATGTCTGGGTAAGAGTCAGCAGTCACAAAAGTCAGTCTTTTTTCCACTTGTCAAATGGGAAATTATAGAAAGGAAAACAGGGACAAAATTGTTGCCTACTTTTCTCAAAGCCAAACAAAAGTCTATTTGGCCTTTCTTCTCTAAGGCAGAAATTCAGGTCAAATGTTCCAAGAACTTCCTTCAGGAAAGGCCGTGGTGTCCTGTCTGACAATCTCACCGCCAGGGTGCGTCTCCGTGCTCCCACGGCCGTGTGTGCCTCCTCCCCAGAACACGCGCCACCGGCCGCACGTTTACCCGGCCCTCCCCAGCCCGTCTGTTCCCATGTCCCCCCAGTTAGCACAGAGCCCGCCTTGTAGCTGGGTTCATGAAATAGAAGTGAAATGAGCGGATACTGTCGACTTTTAAAAGAACCCCATCTGGCATGGATCAGCTCACCTAGGCTGCCAGAAGGCAGGGATGGGGGCACCCGCTAGGGTTACGGTTCTCGGGTGGAAATGAATTTAGTCTCTCACAGGCATCTTACGTTAAGCAAGGCTTGGGAGTCATTCTGGGTGGCAAGACCCAGATGGGAAAATCAAGCTACAGCTGGCAGCAGCCAAGCTGCGGCAGAACAGAGAAGGGGGGCAGCAGGCACGGGGAGAACAGCAAAGCAGAGGGGAGGGTGGGGAGGGGCGCGCACAGCTGAGCAGACAGGGTCTGCATCTGTGACCATACGTGCCGTGGGATTTGAAGCTACGGTCCTGTGGGCATCACCCTGCTCATAAGATCTAACCCAGATCACTTGGTGGAGAAAACCCGACAGGACGGCGGCTTCCTCCATCTGTCTGCCCCATCTCGGCTCCTTTCCCAAGTGCAGTTTTATTGGTCTGCTTTGTTTGTGCTTTAGAAAAAGCGACAACTGGGTGAGATGAACAGGATGTTGGCTGCTGTCTGTAAGTAAACGCTCCAGCTGTTGGCTTAGCGCTCAGCTGCCTGATGAACCAGAGGTGGGATGAACCTGCCGAGCTGCTGGTGCCAGGGGAGAGGGAGCCTTCGATCACGCGGCTCGAGTGACTCCCCACGAGCACCTCTCAGTCTGGCTCCCAGTTCCGGGTGCTGGAGGGCCAAAATTAAGGAGGGCTCCAGATAGCTCTCTCCAAAGCATAAGATCATTTATGTCTTTCTGTTTTCAGCAACAGTGAATGTTTTACCTCCAATGACCGCCGAATCACTTCGAACCGCATTGGTGAGTGGTTCCCGTTCGTCCGACTTCCCAAAGGGATCTGAAAGGAGTAAAACATGAGGCTTCACTCCTCTCTCAAGGCACTGGCAGAAGGTCTACAGAGTGGAGATGAAATGACACACCTGTGGATTACACCGAGTGCTTTCAAATATTTGCGAGTTGGAGAGTTGCAAGTAACCCGAATAAACACAGGCAAGCAAAGAGCACTTGAAGTACACTGGTCGCACCCCACAGTTCACGACCCTGTTAGTTTGCAAGCAAGTTGCAGGAAACGGGCTGAACCAGATGACTACGTATCCTGCCCACGTGCCCTCAGCCTTCCCCTGACATCTCCAGTTGCTTCTCTGGGCAGTTCCCGTGCGTGACAATGGTCTGTGACCCCAGCACACACATCTCTCTGCTTGACAGTTTTCTTCAGTTGCAAGAGGACTCGAGGTTATTGCCAGGGAAGAACAAAAGCACTGGAGAAATTAAGCCTCAGGAGCAACCGCACTGGTGAGAGAGGCGTTGTACGATGCGTGCACTGCCGTGTACGGTGTGAGGAAAAGTGTCCGGTTTTAGGGCGCGGAGCCCGGGGCAGGCTGCTGGCAAGGCGCCGAGGTGGGCGATGCACAGGCCACAGCAGAGTTCAATCCCCTCTTTGCTCACAACTAACATATTATTGGGCATTTGATAGTGCACTGCTTTCTGTCATCATTAGGGTTGCCATGTGTCATTTAATGTTCTCATCTGTAAACTGGGAAAAATAATAGGCTCTACTTTATAAGGTTTTGAAGAGTTACACAAGACATTAGTAATATGAATGTTTTAGAACAGTGCCTGACACAATGTGAGTGTTTACTTAATCTTGCTTTTTCTTATAGTTTTGCTTATTATTTATTACACACAATACACATGTGTGAGTGTATGAATCCTAGTCTCACCAGTGGCACATCCATTTTCTGATGGAAAAGACCAGAACTTACACTTCATGTCCCACAGCACCTGCCACACTGCTGTGTAGGTACACATGAGAGATGTTTGGCAGGTATTTCTTGTATGATTGAATGAACAGAGGGTGGTGGGTTATGCTGTTTGTGGTATATACAGAGAGTCTTTCCCTAAAATCATGAATCGAGCTAGAAAAAATTAGCACAAGAGAGAGTCTGATGGGGTCGAACAGAAAAGGCACTGTGGGGGAAGAGGGGCTGGTTTGGGGCAGGTGTTCTGGATGGTGGCATTGATAAGGGAGGGCTATGGAAAGGACTTGGACTTGGAACTTGGTAATAGTGTTAGTCATCTTTGTATGCTTAGATAGCATACATGCACACACACGAACATACAAACATAGGCAGATAGACATGTCACTGATGGATGACAATGGGCGATGGTGATGATGGCACATGTGAGAGGCAGAGGGAGGATGGGCAGGGAAAGTGAAGGTGGAAAGTGAGAGGTCAGATGAGGAGGGAAAGGAAGGGATGATGGTGGTGACGTGACAGGGAAAGTGAAGGTGGAAAGTGAGAGGTCAGATGAGGAGGGAAAGGAAGGTAGGGAGGGGAAGAGGTAAGGTAGGGGCAGGCAGGGAAAGGAAGGAAAGCAGAGAGGAAGGGAGAGAGGGAACTAAAACTATTTAGTGGTTAGACATTCTATATCCTACTGTCCTCCAAAGATTGTTATTCTTGTATATCCCTGTGCTCACCCACCTTCCTGGAATGCCTCCTGCTTCTCTACAAATACGGTCGTGCGTGGCTTAATGGTGAGAATATGTTTCGAGAAATGCGTTCTTAGGGGACCTATATAGCATGTTGCTGTACTGAATGCTGTAGGCAGTTGTAGCACAGTGGTAAGTATTTGTGTATCTAAACATAGAAAAGGTATAGTACAAATGTGACATGGAAGATAACAGCACCCTTGCCTAGAGCACTTACTGAGAATAGGGCTTGCAGGGCTGGGGGTTGCTCTGGGGGAGTCAGTGAGCGGTGGGTGCACGTGAAGGCCTCGCACGTTACCATACACTCCCGTAGACTTTACACACACTGTGCACACAGGCTACACTAAACCCATTTAAACAATTCTTTCTTCAATAATAAATTAACCTTAGATTACTATTACTTTTTTACTGTATAAACTTTTAAAATTTTTAAAATAGTTTGACTTTTTTATAGTAACACTTAGCTTAAAACACAAACACATTGTACAGCTATATAAAAAATATTTTCTTTCTTTATAGCCTTATTCTATAAGCTTTTTACTTGTTTTTAAAATATTTTATTATTTTTTACTTCAAAAATTTTTTTTTCTTAAAAACTAAGACACAAACACACACATTAACCTTGGCCTACACAGGGTCAGGATCATCAATATCACTATCTTCTACCTCCACATCGTATCCCACTGGAAGGTTTTCAGGGCCGATAGCAGGCATGGAGCTGTCATCCCCTGTGAGACCAATGTCTTCATCTGGAGCCCCCTGAAGGACCTGCCTGAGGCTCCTCTTGAAGGATAGGCTCGTTTACACAGAATCGCCACAACACGTGAGTAATGTGTTGGCTAACACGTTAGGGTGGCTACAATCACTAGATCAGAGAAATTGTTCAGGTCCATTATATCTTACAGGACCACTGTGTTACACAAGGTCCTTCATTGACCAAAGCATCTTTATAACAAGCATGATTGTCTTCGAATCTTAACCATCTATCTGGGTTTAGATCACAGCCTTTTTTCTTATTCCAACTTACATCGGTTTCTCCCTTAGTTCATGTTTATAAACCAATGTACCTTTGATTTTAGCCCAGATTTCTCCATTCCTAGCATATTTTGCTGATGATATGTTAATACACATTAAGTCAGTTTATTACTTCTAACTGCCTGGTATTCATTGAAACCTGCCCTGCATCACCCATTCCTTCCCATGGAAACCACAGTAGTCTCTGAGCTGCACTCGCCCTCGTTCCTTCTGCCTCCTGCCCCACCCCCTGCTTCCCCATGTGGTTTTGAGAACTGTAAGTAATAAACTTTCCTTTCAGAGGCTGCCATCTCCATGTCCATTGTCAATGGACATGACCATGACCAATCGGGTACCTTATGCCCGACTGAAACAAACCCTAGACACATTTCAAGATTTCCGAATGATAGTGACTAAGAAAAGACAGAAAAGTTACTTTAGGGAGTGAAGATAAAAGGCAAGAGAAGATATATGGACATGGTGCTGGAAATTTAATAGGAAATTTAAAATTTTTTCCTATTTTTAAAAAGGGCTGATTTAAATTTTTTTGGTTACATACCCAGAAATAAGATTCTAGTTTTAATTTTTTTTGAGAAGCCTCCATACTGTTTTCCATAATGGCTGCACCAGTTCACATCCCCCCAAGAGCACACAGGAGTTCCCTTTTTCTGTGCATCCTCTCCAGCACTTCTTACCACTTGTCCTTTTGGTCATAGCCATCCTGAAGGGTAAGGTGATCTTGTGGTTTTGGTTTTCATTTCTATAATGATTAGTGATGATAAGTGTCTTACGTCTTTTTTTGAAAAATGTCTATTCAGGTCCTTTGCCTATTTTTATTTTTTTTCTTGTTTCAGTATTGAGTTGTATGAATTCTTTATACGTTTTGGATATTAATCCCACATAAGACATATGATTTGCAAATATTTTCCATTCTGTAGATTGCCTTTTCATTTTGTTGATTGTTTTCTTTGCTGTACAGAAAGTTCTTAGTTTGATATAGTTCCATCTTTTTTTCTTTTGTTGCCTATACTTTCGGTGTCATATCCAAAAATATTATCGTCAAGACCAATGCCAATGAGCTTTTTCCCTATGTTTCCTTCCAGGATATTACAGTTTCAGGTCTCACATTTAAGGCTAAATTTATTTCAAGTTAATTTATGTGGTGTAAGACAAAGATTCAGTTTTATTCTTTTGCAGGTGGATATCCAGTTTTCCTAGCATGATCTATTGAATAAACAATCCTTTCCTCATTATGTATTATTGAAACCCTTGCCGAAAATTAGTTGAACATATATGCTGGGTATATTTCTGAGCTCTCTATTCAGTTCCATTGGTCTATGTGTCTGTTTGTATGCCAGTATTATGCTCTTCTGATTACTCTAGCTTTGCAATATAGCTTGAAATCAGGGAGTGTGATGCCTATAGCCATTTGCACTTATGTGTTCACTGCAGCATTATTCACAATAGCCAAGATACAGAATAACCTAAGTGTCTGTCTATGTATGAATAGATAAATATATTGTGATGTGTGTATATATATATATATATATGCTGAATATATCTAGCATTTTTATATATATACTGAATAATATTTCATTGTTTTGTAGATTTATATCACAATATCTTTATTTATATGTTTATACATATAAAAACAATGGGATATTGTTCAGCATTATATAATATAAGGAGATCATGCCACTTGTGACAACATGAATAAACCTTATTTCATTGCATCAAATGAAATAAGCCAGATGCAGAAAGACAAATAGTGTATGATCTCACTTATATGTAGAATCAACAAAAGTCAAACTCATAGAAGCAGAGAGTTGAACAGTGGTCTCCAGGGGCTGTAGGTTGGGAGAAATGGGGAGATGTTGGGTAAAGGTACAAACTTAGTTAGAAGATGAACACATTTTGGTGATCTAATGCACAGCATGACAACTACAGTTAATCATACCACATTGTTTACCTGAAATTTGCTAAGAGAGTAAATCTCAAATGCCTCCACCAGAAACACACACACAAAGGGTAACTATGTGTGATAATGGATGTGTTGATTAATTTAATTGTGTTAATAATTTCACAGTTTCATATATTTATCAAATCATCACATTGTACACTTAGGATATATATAATTTTTATTTTTCAATTATTCAATAAAGCTAGAAAAAGTAAGCCTGATTTTAGTCCCATAGAATATATTAGTTCAGCAACCAGCTCGCTGCCTCCTTGTTCCCTAAACACTTCCATTCCTGTAGCAGTAGCCACTTAAACGGTAGTGACTATATACTCACACACGCCACAGACACTATGCACTATTATGTATGCATATAACATATACTATATGCAACTACGCATTTAATTCTAGGTACTCACCATGTTAAGAGTAGAACTGTATTAAAGATACTAAAAATCACCCATAAGAAATCAGTCACAGTTTCTACCACCTGTAATTACACAAGGTAAGGAATCGAGTCATAACAGCTGAACCTTTGCCCTGGAAGCTTCCTGAAGCCACTGAAATTAGAGCCAGTGAGGTGAGCTCCACTGGGCATTCTCTTGAATGTACCTGATGAAGAATGCACAGTGGTCACTGCATTCACATCTGAGTCCACCATGGAGCCACAGCTGGACTCCGTCAAGGTCCCCTGGACAGTCACAGGCGCGGCGGTGGCGTGGCGCAGGGCTGCCTTCAGTGGCGCTGCGTGGTTGTATTGCACCGAAGACATGCATCCAACAAAGCCCAGGCTGTTTGCCTTCACAACCTCGGAATCCAGTCTGTGACTCTCTGCAATGTAAAAGACAATCAGAAGTCTTTTTGTTCCAAACTATGTTGTATGTCCTCTTTGAGTCATGTCTAAAATTGCAGAAATTACCTTGTTATTCTTTGACTAAGGAGAACCCTCCCCCATCTCTCTTCGCCTCCTTTCCCCAACTCCACCCCCACTACAAGCATCAATATATCAACCACATTTCATAGAAAACTGCTAGGGCCAGCTCTGCTTTGAAATAAAAATGTTTCAAACTTCTAAATTTTCATTCATGTATTTTATGAACTGTAACAAAGATAATAAATCTGTTCGGTACTCTAGATGCTTTATAGAATTTGCATCATTATCACCGTCACCATTTATCTATGGAAGGGGACGATTAGTGCAAGCATGCTACAATGCTCTTTACAGCATCTCACTCAAAAATGTACCAGGAAAAAAAAAATGAAGAGTTAGACAGAGAAATTAGAAGGCAAAGTTATCCGCCCAGAGATTTATCATGTTCATTGTTTTAGGTCACCTATATTCAAGATTTGTACCTGCTTGGTCCTGCCCATGGAACTGACTGGTGAGCATAGGTGTTTTATGACAGCATTAAACTTCCCAAAGCATCTTTGAATCTTTATAAAAGATGAAAATGCAATCATTTGAGATTCATAGCAAGATCAAATGTCTCATTTTCTTCAAGATTTGTGGTGAGATTACTTAGAATCCTATTTCTTTCTCTTAAAAGAGGTCATTGGAGCAAATTGCTGTGATGCAATTCCATAAAACTGCAATGCATAATGAGCCATTTTTAAAGGTGTAATAGTTTTAACATACCTAGATGACTCCAATGGTTATTTCATTATGATAATTTGTTTATTTTCTGGAAGGGGGCAGGGACTTTCCCATCTACCAGTATAAATTATATACTTAAACAATTCATAAATTGTCAAAGAATGTCTCTATTGAATTGTAAGCATGCATTATGCTGCCAGATTAAGGAGAAGATGTGATGAGGACGTGAAAGGAAATGAGAAATTAACCTACCTTAATAAGGCCTTTGCTATTAATAATTTTGGCCTCATTTTACTGTCCCCAATAAACTTAACCAATTTTTTTTTCTTCAAGTGCTAAGTTTATTTTGACATGTTTTTATACTCCAAGTCATTTAATGCCACTCACTCCTGTTGCTTTGAGTAATTATTATGAAGAAAAACTTAACCAGTTATCATCCCTTTCTTCTTAGCATAATAAAGAAACTAGGCTAGGCATCATGGCTCAATTCTCTAATCCTAGCACTCTGGGAGGCCGAGGTGGGAAGATCATTTGAGGCCAGGAGTTCAAGACCAGCCTAAGCAAGAGCAAGACCCTGTCTCTACTAAAAATAGAAAAAATTAGCTAGACGTGGTGGTACACACTGGTAGTCCCAGCTACTTGGGAGGCTGAAGTAGGAAGAATGCTTGAGTCCAGGAGTTTGAGGTTAGAGCGAGCTAGGCTGACACAGCTGCACTCTAGCCCAAGAGACAGAGCGAGACTTTGTCTAAGAAAAGAAAGAAAAGGAAGGAAGAAAGGAAGGAAGGGAGGGAGGAAGATAAGCAGGCAGGCAGGCAAGACGGAAGGAAAAAGGGAAGGAAAGAAGGAAGGAAGGAGGGAGGGAGGGAGGGAGGGAGGGAGGGAGGGAGAAAATCATGTATATTAATGTCATGTGGCTGCTGTGAGAAATTACCACAGATCTGAAAAGCTTAAATTAAGCAGCTTAAAACCCAAATGTATTATCTTGCAGTTGCAGATTAGAAGTCTCACAAAGCTCTAATGGGGTTAAAAGCCTAGGTGTCAACAAGGCGGAACTTCTAGAGGCTCTGGGATATTGCATTTCTCTGCCTTTTCTAGCTCCTCGAAGCCACACACATTCTATGGCTAACAGCCCCCTTCTCCATCTTCAAGGCAAGCAATGTTTCATTTCTCTTTTCCCTAGTCACTTTGACCTAGAATTCTCTCTTGCCTCCTCCTTTCACTCTGAAGGACCCTTGTGATTACACTGGATTCATCCTGATAAGCCACGGCGATCTCCCTATTGTAAATGCAGCTGACGGCGACATTAATTCCATTTGCAACCTGATTCCTCTCTGACACACAACCTAATACATCCATGCGTCCTGGGGATTAGGATAGGGACATCTTTGTGGTTCTACAGGTCCACGTCTGAGATTCTGTGAGAAATTTCCAGGTAACGATAATGAAAATCCAATAAATATGTAATGTGTCACTCTTCCTCAAGTATGAGAGCACTGAGGTATGCAAGGAAACTTCAGTCTTCCGAATATTCAAATAAATATCCTACAGTGATTGACGGTACATATTTGTTATTCTTGAAAGGATCACAAATGTTTATTCATTATTATGAGCTTTAAAAGACTGTGTCCCACGTGAGGCTTCTCACACATTGTGCAACAGTCTTCCAGATTGAAAAGCTTTGATGGACTGGATGCAATTTGCTGGTGGCCCAAGAATTTCATGTGCTCAGCTACAATTCCAAATACACATTAGCTACTGATTGCAAGGGGCAGAGCAGAGATCAGAAGTATTTAGAGGAAAAAACAGAAGACAAGAGAAGGAACTCATAAACTGTCATAAGGTTTTTTACATTGTTAGGATTTCAAAATTGCAGGAAGTGACATGGCATTGTAGCTTTGCCTGAAGTGTCTAAGTCAAAACTGACAGATCTCATTCCCAGAACCTAGTTGGAAAGGAGCCTACATTGGTGTCAAGGTCCTTGGAGGACATCACTATAGTGACTGTCATGAATACAAGCTCCAGGTACAAGAACAGGCACATAGATAAATCAGGGGTAATGCCAGAAAATGACATTCTCGCCTCAGAGGAATAAATTTTTTAAATAAAGCCTATCCCTAGAGTATTGTGTTTATTCTAGAAGTATAATTAGGACAGAGATCTTGAGGTATTTCTAAAAAGCAATAAAGAGAGTAAAAATTGTGATATCAGAAAACACTCTCAGTATGAGACCCGAGACAACGATGTCCCAGATTTTTACATAGTGGAGGGACAAAAAACAAACAAAAACAAAGTTAGGATGGTTCCATATGACTTTTGCTTCTTATAATAGCGTTAACTAATATGTAGTAGGGAGTAATTATTTGCTAAGAAGATATTTTTTTAAACAGGTACAAAAAACTCAACATTCACCACTCATCAAGTAGTTACTATACAACACTGTAATAAATATTATTAAATATTTTTTCTATTACCCTCCAAAGTTTTTCCAGGTACATGTTATCATCCTTCAAAATTTACATATGAAGCAACTGATACTCAGAGAAGTAAGGGAGGTATTGGAGATCACGTGGCAGACTTGAGATTTAAACCTGTCGTTAGGATTTTAAATGCCAACACTTTATCTAAGCAATGCTGCCTCCATGAAAACTTCAAAGTATCTTCTATATAAAGTAAAATAATTTTACATAAATTATCTAAAAAGAAATAGGCTGTAAAAACTAAGGAAAGCACAAGTTATTTTGGTTGAATGTCTCACAAAAATTCACTGAACTCTGTATTATATTAAAGACAAATGTATTTCCTAATCCATTTTGTTCAGTTTTTAGGTCACAATTGTACTAGATTCATATGGAGTTGGGTGGGGGACAAATTTATATGTTGAGCTAGAGAATGAATATCGAAGACAAACTTCATAGTGAACGTGGCTACTCAAAGGCTGATAGGATGGGAATGCAAGCCAAGCATCCACTGCAGAAAAGTACCATGTTTTTCAGGATTTTCTGCTAACATACAAAAATCTCATCCAAACAAGAATTACAAAGTTTTGCTTCACAATCTATGCCACCACCTTTCTTAAAAAAGAAAACCTGTGCCATGTCCAAACATCTTATTTAAACTTGATTTACTTTCTCCCCCTTCATACACTTTAAATATCATTAAAATACAGTTCCCTATTTTCTCTTGATTCTATTTGAGGGCTCTGTGCCCTCAAATAGTGACGTAGAAGCAGCATGGGCTGCTGAAAGGTAATGGCTGGAAGTTGAATGAGCCTGAATTGGTGACTCCTGTCCTTACACATGCAACTTCTGTTTCCCCATTTCTAAGCCACAGTTTTATCCATGGTAAAATAGTGATAATAGCCCCTGCCTCAGGAATGGTGGTGGAAATACATATAATAATATAAGTATAGTTCATAGCTCAGGGGCCATAAATGTATTTTTGATATTGTTTATTTGCTTGTTTATTTATGTTTTGTACACATTTATGTTGTATGGCATGATGTCTTGATACATGCATACATTGTGGAATGGCTAAGTCAAGCTATTTAAAATGTGCATTACCTCACATACTTATCCTATTTTTTGTGTGTGATGAGAACACTTAAAATCTACTCAGCAATTTTCATGTATTCAATATTTTGTTATTAACTGTGGTCACCATAATGTACAATAGATCTCTTAAATTTATTCCTTCTAACTGAAATTTTGTCCTCTGATTAACAGGACACAATAAATGCATGTATTAGTAGTAATAAGTACTAGTAGTAGTTATAGTTTTGTTTACTCCTCCTGCTGTTCATTAGTTCCAAACTCCTTTGCCTGGATGCAATGCCCCTCAACATGCCCAAGTGATACTGCATTTGGAACTAAGATGTAAATGCTGATGTGCTTGCTGTGAAATCTGTTTATTAAATTTCCACTTTTTGCTGACTCACAACTGAATAACTGCAGAACTCAAACTTTGAATAAGTTGATAAATGTATTATAGACTAACTTTTCCAGGCATTTAAAAACTTGACTTTCTACATTAATTTGCAAACACCCTTATTTTTTCAAAGAAAAGCTATGCTCCTCTGTTAAGCCCAGTGGATCTGAGATGCACAGGAATGTTTCACAGAACCAGTTTGCCCCAACGCTTCACACAGTCGCGACTGTCTGGCAGGAATGGAGTGACAGAATGAATCCAGGCTAATTTTATGGAGGCAGATTTTTGTGGGGCTTTTTATATTATAAAAAGA